TTCCCTGCCTGCCTACTCGTACCTGTTGAGCGCGGAAGGTCGACGCGAGCAGGGCCGAAGCACGGCAAGTCAGGGATGCTCTCTTAGTCTTTTCCTTTTCTAATCATTACCTCCAGATAAAGACACAACGACAGACCAATCGCGTCATTATAATAGCGGCAAATGTTCTATAATATTCTCGTCATGGGAGTACGGAAGTCGGTGTGCAAGTGTCACGGCATTCTCGTTGCCTGGCTGAGGTGGCTTTTCACCGGCAGAGCCATGGCAGAGCAGCAGTGCACGGCCACCCTGTTTAGACGATCGAAGGCAACAGTCGAAATAATCACAGAGACTGAGACTAAGATAATTCAAACAATGCCTTTCAAGGGCAACCGTCGCTTGAAGACGCGGAGCCGGCAAAGTCGGCACGCACACCTGTGAATGTGGACAGACATTTTGCGCCTGGTCATACATGCTCCAAGACGGCGAATGTTATATCTGGCGTCATCAAACGAGTCAGCCTGGGAGAATTGACCCTCTTTACCTCGCTGGGGCCAACCTATGGTCGGTGTCGTCACTGCGACTCGCGAATTTGATTATTATTACATTCATCAATCCCCACACATGTTATGGGTCGTTGGTCTGTCACAGAGCTAGACCAGTTAGAACCTGCCGGCGGGTATTTTTTGGAGACATTTTGGGGTAAAAGCCTCATTCGTCTCCAAAATATTGGATGCCGCACCAATGAGGCAAATGGGGAGCTGCCTCTCTTAATCTCGCGATAGCGATATTCATACCATGTCTTGGTGAAAGATACAGCCAATTACTCCTCATACAATTTGGTAATGAGTTCAACGGGCACCTTTCATGCATCAACTAATCTTTTCCTTCTTCTTCACGTCCGGAAACGGTATGCTCCGTCGCATGACTTTGCGCCTCCGGGCTCCTACGATGTGGGCCGTGGTGCCCGGACTTGCTGGGGGCTACACTAATAAGAGGACTGCGGAGCTGTGCCAGCTGTGATACGGGGTCATGATGGAGACGAATGTTGATCTAAAGTAACAGAAACTGAATTCTATAAGTATGTGGGCACTGTTTCCCCAGACCCAGATTTGCCCTCATGCTCATTCTCCACGCTCCCTCTTGTTCTACCCCATTTGCTCTAGAGACCTGTTGTTCTGTGCTCCTTCAACTCTGTTTGACTCTGCAAGTGACGGTTTTGCCTGCCATATCGTTTCGCCATCATGGACTCGCCGGCTCTCTCAAAGGGATCCAAAGAAAAGGACCAGGATCAAGTGATCCGAAGAGACTCGAAAAGCTCTAGCAACCCAAATGAACTTCCCAAATACGGCGACGTTGAAGATGCCGTCTTTGGTGAAGTAAGAGAAGGTGGTCCCAACTACCGCAACGTATGTCACTTGGAGTGTCCTTTCGACTGTGAGATGGCCGATTGCTGACCATAGGAATAGCTCGGATGGATCGCCACTGTCGCCCTCATGGCCAAAACACAGATCGGTCTTGGTGTCTTGTCCATTCCTGACACGTTCGACAAGCTCGGTATTGTTCCCGGCGTCCTCTGCCTGATCGCCGTATCCGCCTCCACAACATGGTCCGGCTACATGGTCGGATCTTTCAAGCGAAACCACCCCGATGTCTACAGTTTGGATGAAGCTGGCTTCAAAATGTTCGGAGCTGTTGGGCGGGAGGTCTTGTCCGTCGCCTTTATGCTTTGTGAGCGCCCCCCCTTTGGATGTTTGATTATCAACAGTCGCAGGATGAGCCGATCTAACATTTTCCTTCACAGACTGGATCTTTGTTGCCGGATCCGCCCATTTGGGTATCTCTATTGGCCTTAACTCAGTATCAAGCCACGCTGCCTGCACAGCTGTCTTCGTTGCCGTCGCCGCTGTTCTTGGCTTTGCCTTCTCCAGTATTCGTACTCTGGGTAGAATTGGCTGGCTCGCCTGGATTGGGTTGTTCTGCATTCTGACTGCGAGTAAGTTCACAACCCTCCACCAAGACTTCTTTCAATGTGCTGGCTAACATCTCTTAAAACAGTCTTCTGCGTTACCATTGCCGTCGGTGTTCAAGACCGGCCCGCCGCCGCCCCTGAAGGTCCATGGGGGTCCAACTACAAAATCATTGGCTCGCCCAACTTTGTCGACGGAATCTCCGCGGTTTCTTCGCACATCTTTGCCTTTGCTGGCACGCCTGCGTTCTTCTCCATTGCGGCTGAGATGCGCGAGCCAAAACACTACACCCGATCTCTCCTTACTTGCCAGACGATTGTGACCGTTACATACATCACTATTGGAACTGTAGTCTATTATTACTGCGGTTCGTATGTCGCCTCGCCTGCTCTGGGATCTGCGGGTGCCATCATGAAGAAGGTCTGCTACGGCTTGGCGCTTCCCGGCCTCATCGTCACCACCATGATCGTCACTCATGTAAGCTCTGATACTACCTAGCAAGTCAACACCTCCAGCACAACTCAATTAGCTAACCACGCTTTGAAATACAGGTCCCCGCCAAGTATCTTTTCCTCAGACTCCTTCGAGGCACACCCCATCTCAACTCCAATAGTCTTGTTCACTGGGGCACCTGGCTCGGCTGCACCGGAGGCGTGACCCTCATCGCGTACATCATCGCCAGTGCGATCCCCATCTTCGGCAACCTGGTATCTTTGATCGGCGCCCTTCTCGGCACACTGATGTGCTTCCAGCCGTACGGGTGCATGTGGCTCTACGACAACTGGTCCGCCGGAAAGAACAACAGGACCACTAGGTGGACCTTGATGGTTGTCTGGAGCGTCTTCATGATCGTTATCGGTACCTTCCTCATGATTGCCGGAACGTATGGGTCTGTCATGGCGATTATCGAGTCCTACCAGGCCAGTGGAGGATCGTCAGCCTGGAGCTGCGCTGATAACTCCAACTCGGGCGGTGCAAAGTGAAGTTGTTTGTATTTGAGCAATGTATGTACTACTAGGAAATAGAGAGGATTCGATTAGGTGCTGGCACCAGGAATTAAGAAATATAGCCTTTTGATACTACCCACGCACATAAATTGAGGTCCATGATCTTTTTCTAGCCATGTAAATTCTCTGCAAGCTGCCTCGACTTGCCGAGTTGTTAAGAGCGTGAATTGAGTCGATGGGTCCCCCCAGCCAACAGATATGAAGCAAGCAGTAAAAGATCTTTAATAGGCACTGAAATAAAGGAAGGATTGTGGAAATAGCGACGTCGTATTATTATATGTTACACTTGAGTTGATTTCTGCGGCGTGGTGGTTCTGGGTGCCGGCGAGAACGGATCACCTCTGAGGTAGTACCTCAACCCAAGGCGAACCTTTGATCTGTCTATCGGTGTCTCTTTGAGCGAGAACCTTCGATCTAGCAATGAGAATACGCACATAGCTTGAAAGATTGTTCGCCATTGGATGGACAGTCTGAGTAGGGTTTTCCAGCACTTGACAACAGTTGACAGAAGTTCACACCGCTTGACACAAATCAACACCTCTTTACGTAATCCCCACACCTTCCCTGAGACTGTCGGTCGCTCTTTCTTCTCGTTGTTCTTACTAAGCTCTGCCTTTCCTGAGAACATTCATCTACCTAGGTACCTAGTTCGTCCTCGTGCACAACCACTTCCCCCCATTCTCCCTTTTTTTAATCAAGTTGCGAAACTCTGATCAAGTATTAACGAGGCGGCCTGCATAAAGTTCTCCTCGGTGACGTTCTGCCAAAACTGGGTTCTTGCGCGAGCCACTTATGCAAGCACCCAACGCACCGAGTGGCCCAAACGATCGGCAGCTGTGGTTTCTCAACCGTTTGGCCGGCTTAAGATATTGAACCATCGTAAGTTTGACCATTTGCCTCCTCTGAGTCGCACGAAATCAATAACCGACAATTCTCGTGGCAGATAAATGGCCTTGAAGGTCTGTGTCGGGCCCGAACTTCCCCGTCAGAGCAACAAGTCAATGCCCGCAAACCAGTCCCAACTTAAGCTTAGCTTGTTTGACAACTCACTTGTCTTGACGGCAGACAGCGAGGTCAGCTTCACAGCAATCGCTCGTCTTGACGGAAGACAGCCAGGTCAGCTTCGCAATGATCGCTCGTCTTGACGGCAGACAGCTAGGTCAGCTTCGCAGCTATCACTCGTCTTAAGAACGTCGCGAGCTGGAACAGAACTGGGCGCGTGACGCCGAACTTTTCAAAGCGAATGTCGCGAATTCCAAGGACAAGGTTGTCACAGGCTGGTCAGATCCGCAGCGATCGCCCATCTTGAGGGCGTCGCGAGTTGGAACAAGACTGGGCGTGTGACGTCGAACTTTTCAAAGCGAATGTCGCAATTGCCAAGGACAAGGTTACCACGGCTCAGGAGGAGCGCAATGCACTACTTGCGGCTATCGAGGAGGAGAAGGCGAAACGAGGGACAGGCTGGTAAGGTCCGCAGCGATCGCTCGTCTTGACAGCAGACAGGCTGGTCAGCTTCACAGCTATCGAGGGCGTCGCGAGCTGGAACAAGACTGAGCGCGTGACGTCGAACTTTTCAAATCGAGTATCACAATTGCCAAGGACCAGGTTGCCACGATCCAGGAGGAGCGCAATGCACTACTCGCGTCTATTGAGGAGGAGATTGTGTTGAGTTGTCGGGCTCTGGCAGCTTCCATTGCTGTTGAACTTTATTCTCTTTCTCTTACGTATCAAGGAGGAGAAGGCTATTCATTGTGTTGAGATATTGGGTCTGGCATCTTCTATTGTTGTTTTTAACTTTATACTCGAACTGCCCGTATTTATTGTGTTGAGATGTCGGGTCTGGCATCTTCAATTGTTGTTTAACTTTATACTCGAGCTCTCACCAGGATATTCTCGCTCAAAGGGATTCTAAAGCTGCTCCGGACGAAGAAGGCAAGCCCTGTAAAATCAAGGTGATCTACCGTATGGTGCCGCACTTGAAATAGTTCATGATGTGCTTGAGCACTTGGACCACTCCAATTTTGGGAATTACTCTGCCGATATCATGCCATCACCAAGTCTCGTTTCGAAGCGGTATGCCAAATTCACTCCAGGACGGATTACCATATGCAAGAAAAGCTCGGCTTTGACAAAATCCTCGGACTTTACGATTCTTTTGTCGTCCAGTTCAAAATGGGCTCTATTCTCATCACCGAGCTCGTTTCCCCCTCTCTGTCCTCCTCCATCGCCAGGAACCGTCACCCAGATTTGCGATTCACAAGCTCATGACTGGTTTTGAACTCCTCCACAAAGAAGGAATTATCGAAAGTGGTGAGTTCTGAATGCTTGTCTTGTCTCATGACTACCAAAAGGCTCACTGTATGAATAGTGACTTGAAATCGATCCGCATAAAGGCGACTTGGGTATTGCAGTCCTGCTGCTCCAGCAGTTTGATGAGGAAGAGATCTCAGCTTTCTGGGAAACCCGTCAATCATATCTGTTGTCTCACGAAACCATGATATCCCAATGGAGACAATGACGACATACCTTACCGAGGCCGTGGATCTTGAATCTTTTCTTGAAAGCAAGAGCGCTCTCCCCCTTGATCACCGCCGTCACCAAAGTTGTCGAAACCATCGCTGAGGCGACAAGGAGTGCCGGTATCTACCAGGCGCAAAGTTTCGGAATACTTTGCCTGCTGCCAGGGTATTTGAAAGGACTGGGCAGGCCTCACGATAGACCGCCTCGACCTCGAGTCATTCGCCAACGCGCTGAGAAGATGCCCTTCTCTCCTCGACCTCACACCTTCGTGGCATGCCCCTACGATCCATATCCAGCTCATTCTGTAAACCTCCATACCGATGACTCACTTGATGTCGGGATGCGCCGTTCGTCGTATGACTATTTAATCTGGCCTCTTTCACCTGGCTTCTCGTCTTACACCAATCCAAACACTTCAACACACCAAGCTTGAGGCTTTCAGGCAACTGAGTGAGTACTAGTTACCCCTTGGCCATAGCGCTTTCATCGGGTGAAGAATCTATCCTTTTGCAGGCTCTGGCATCTGGTGTTAGGCTAAATCCCACCCACGTCGCTATCACCCGCCTCCTCCTTTTCTCCTCCTCCTCCTAGTCCTCCAGCTTCTCTCAGGCCTCCACCTTCTTCCAGTCGGCCTTTTCCTTCTCCAACTACCCGTCTGCCTCTTCTTGTAGGTTGAGGCTCCTCTCGTATTCACTCAGTTCCCAAGCTGGGTGTATAGCGCCAAAAGCGGCGTCAAAATACCGGACCAAAAGGTCTGGCTGGAGGACACAAGTTCGTTAAGATCATTGATTTTCGCAAGCCTGCTTGGAAGATGGTCCCTTCCCAGAGTGACTAGGATGTATCTCTTGACGACACGGCCACCTGAGGTCTTTATGTATTTCATGTCCAATGGAATGGCAGGTTCTCTCTGGAGCAAACAGGCCGACAGGATATTTGGGTGCATGGTGAGCTTCCCCGCATGGATAACCCGCCTTTCAACCGGTACTAATCAAGCTGCATTACATAGATCGCCGGAATCGTGGATACGGGTACCTTTCCATCATGGCCAGACCGCGAGGACCAGCTTCTCTACGTATTCCAACTTGACTGACCTCCCTCTGAGAACTGGCTCGATTTTTTGAACTTCGAAGTGCTAGCTGATATTATTTTCGGTTGCAAGAACGCCCGGGTCAAGAGCACTCTCGATATGCTTGTGCAGAAATAGGCCATTCACAGGTTGAAAGAGCTCATTTGCCCCTTTTCCCAAGATTTCGCCCATACTGGCTTAAAGGGGAGTGTTGCCCTCCACGACCTCACGTGGGTGAATGTGAGAGTCAGAGTAGCTTGACTCACGGGGTGGGGGACGGCGATGGGGGATGCCAGACCCGACATCTCAACGCGATGAATATCGGCCTCATGCAGAAGATGATCGTGAGAGATCAAAGTCGCCGGAGATCACTGAGTACCCTACTCTTCCACCCCCCCTTTTTAGAGAGAGATGCTAGAGATAATATGTACATAACACTGACAGGATGACTTATGTAGTATGTAGCTGTCATGAGAAATGGCTTCTATATCTAATGGCTATGTATTGGTTTCACAAGAAGCGAGAGTAAAAACCAGTAGATTATATTTAGTAGTCCAAGAAGTAAGATGATACTCATTCCGCGTCGGGGCTCACTTGTCAGGTTGGGCAAGGGTCAATAAATGAGCTTCATCGTCCATAGAAAATCATTATCCTTTTTACCTCTTCTCATATTTTCTGTTAAAGATCCCCTTCTAAAAGGATGCGTTCTATGACTTTGCAGCTACTACCTACAATAAGCTAATCCGGTACTTAAGGGCGTGAACCATTTAATCAAATAAGAATACACACATAGATCAAACCCCCATTGTGACAGCTATTGCGGAATGTTGTTTGATTCTTGTGTGGTTGGCAGCTTGCATTTTTAATTCACAAATCCATGGTGTAGTGTTGTCTTATCCCTAATCTAATTCATTGTGTTGAGATGTCGGGTCTGGCATCTTCTATTGTTGTTTAACTTTATACTCGAACTCTCTCCCGTGGTCGAACTCTCTCATCCGTATTCTCACCGGAGAATGGGTCATCATTCTCATCTCTCATCTTCTTGGCCGTCCGGGCTGTAGAACACCACGTCGGGCAGGAATGGTGAAGATGCAGGTTCCCCACCTCCCGCTGCGCATGTGTCAGTGTAAGTGCTCTGGCCAAGGGGCTACTGGCACTCAGTGGGTTGCCGAGAACCCTTGAGCTTGGTGTGTTGAACTGTTTGGATTGGTGTAAGACAAGTGTGAAGCTAGGTGAAAGAGGGTAGATTGAACAGTGATCTGACGAGCGGCTCGTCCCGACCGCAAGTGAGTCATCCGTTGAAAGGGTTATGGAGTTTCACTTCCACATGGCTGTTGGATTAGGCTAGCAGAGCTTATTTTCGCCTTTTGTCTTCATTGCGTTGAGATATCGTGTCTGGCATGTTCATTGCTTTGCTTGTTACTTTGTACTTGGACTCTCATCCTACCCACACGTGGTAGCCAATTCTCCCGTTCATTGCCAAAATGTGACAAATTTCACGGGGAGGCTCAACTTGGCTCTCATCTTCCTTGATATCTTTGTGAAAGCCGAGTCTTTTCTCCAGTTCCACCCATGCTTGAGTGGCCGCTTGTGGTAATATCAGACTGTTGGCCCTTGAGACTTGGTTGAAAAGGCCTTGAGCCGGATTTGTAAATGTCAAATCCGATGCACCGTGGGAATACGGGTATCCTGCGGTTGAGGCCCATAGCCGTCCAAATTATAGGATCAGAACTTGCTCCGGTCAACAGCCGGGAATCAGTGGATAAGAGATGAGTTAACCATATGGACTGTAGGCTTGTATTGCACTCTTTAAAGACGTTCAAGTCCTCTTGTGAGATACCCTCTCCGTGGCACGGATTAAGGCCGAGTGGGTATTCTTGGGTTGGTCCGCATAAGCTATATGGACCAAACCATGCCTCGAGGATCAAACTCCTGCAAATCAGCGAGGAATTTGATGGAAGTGCGTGTCTTAATGTTGAACCTGCATAAAAAGAGGCAATCGCTTTCGGGATTCAGCCAGAGAGTTGTGGAGTCGTTGTGTATAGGAAGTGGTAACTTGAAAATCTTTTGGCAGCTTGTCTGGACTCTCGGTAGGTGGTCCAGAGAGGATTGATGCGAGATTTTCTCTCTGTAGATACCATCTAGCCGGCCGCTCTCTCGAGCTCATCGGGATCTTCAAGGCACACAGTGAAGACCCGCCGCCCTGTAGAAGGAACCTCGTTTAACATCTTTAGTCTCAGTTCGAAAGGCAACCGAGGAGACGAAAGGGATAAGGTGGGGTTCAAAGACACTCGTTGATTTGAAAAGTTAACGTGGTTGAGCGTCTGAAACTGTGGTTGGTGTGCCTCGCTGGCTGATAATTCCTGTAGTGAATCCGGATTCAATTTTCTCCAGGTCAACTGGGAGCGCATGGTTTTAAGGTCGGCTAGATACATTTGGGAAATTAGCAACGATGGCAAATGGCTGAGAGTAGCCATACTGACATCGTCCCCTTGTCCGTTTATGCATGCCTTGGCCACACTCGGCATCAGTCTTGGCAAAGTAACTTGAGCTTGCAGAGCATCCTTGTACAAATGTAGGTCTCTTCTGGAGTATTCTACTTGACAACTCGTCGTTGAATATCTTGTATAGCCTTCGATTCGCAGGGGGGGTATCGTGGTATCTGGTGTTGCATCATAGCATCGCAATCCCTGAGCAAAGAGATCCACAAGATTGATGTCTGGAGAGTAATGGAAAAGTGGGCGACCGTAGCGAGAGAATTTCACGTCTGCGAAATGTTCTCATAAAGTCATAGTGCTCAGAAACCAGGATCAACAAGGCATCTTTGGGTGACGACCTTTGGGGATCGAAACACATTTGAAATCCTCCCACCCTGAAATCTACAAGTGATAATATTGTGGAGTTGAGCGATCCGGAGTGTTGAAACTTGACGAGACTGTCGGAGTTAATAATTGTGCGGTACGCTGAACGAATATCATCACAAATATTCGTAAGATGGGAAACTCCTATCGTGACCTTCAGGAGTTTCTAGGTTCGGGGTCCGATTTAACATCGCTCTTGTTGGACAGTGTTGTTCTCTATGGCGCTGAGATCCTAGATTCGGACGAATTATTCTCCAATCCAAATACGAGGTGAAGCGAGGTACATACCTATAGGCGCTTTCGAAGTGGCCAGCCACCCTTTTTCGATACTTCGCCTCAAGCTTCGGAGGCCACGGGCGGCTGAGTTGGTTATTGTCGAAGTGGTCCAAGTCGGGACAATCGTTGTCTTTAGTCACGCTGAAGAAGGGCATGGCGGCGTAAGAAAGAGTAGAATGACTCTAGAATTGGAGAAAATTGCGAGGGAGGATTGTTAAGGGGGTAGAAGTCAGATAAGAAGATGTAAGGCAAGCAAGCAAAGAGATTGAAGAAAGGCGAGGAGAGGAAAAAAAAGTGAACGAGGAAAATTGAGGGGCAAGTGAGAAACCCCTAGGAAGGAACCGCCACCCAATGGTCCTTCCTAATTACACAATACAGAACCTTCGCCCACAAAAGAATACCCAAATCCCACTGCGAGTTTTTTTTATAAGGGGACTGGGTAACCCTTATCGGCCTTCTGAAAGGGATGAGGCCCCTTCTTCTGTCAAATGGCCCACCAAGGATTACTCTATCTCCAGCTTCTCAACGGGCATCCCGTAGTAAGCTCAACATGACTTCAAGGCTCCTCAGCTTCGATCTAGCAGTCTGCGGCATCTTATTGGCCTGGAGCGAGACTGTTGACTGCATACCTCTATATCGTCGGAGCTACTACTCGAAATGGGGCATTCTGGACCCCATGCCGCCCTTGAATTTCTAGTGTTAATCACGTAGTTACAAAGTTGATGCCGACAATGAAAAGTCCCTCTTAACCAAACCTACTCTTTCACTTGAGTCGACCTACAGTGACCTTGAAGTTCCATGAAGAGATTTTATCTGCCAGCATCATTTTCAGGCCTCTTCCTGAATTGAATAGTCCCATGAAGATGTACGCATATATCAGGTTAGAAGGAATCAGTATTTGAGAAGAGAATTGAGGAGAAGAATTGCCTCGGCACTTTTAAAAGCGTTCCCACCAGTTTTTGCCCTTGGAGCTGAGCCGAATACACCACACATAGGCCTGACTCTGGAGGTCTGCGCATCTCAGCCAAGAGAATGCGAAGAAGCACTGGACATCTGCATTTTCTTCTTGCAAGGTATTGGAACCAACGCACAGGACTGACAGTTGTCCTTTAAACGAACCACTCACAGTTTGCCACTTGTGCAACTAGGATGCAGCCATAAGTGAGGCGCGCTGCGAAGGTTGCGCAAAGTGCAGAAACGATTGGGTCAGGGGATTCTGAGCTGATAGAGTCTTACAAAAGGGTCACGCCCAGGCTCTCGGAGGATGATTCCTACAGGAAAGTATCCCTGCTCTACTCCCACACCAGCGCTCATTGTACGGCATCCCAGAGAGCCAATGGTCAGGGATCTCGCGTTCCGCTCGCTTTCTATCAGAGTGGTGTAGGATTACGAGGGAGCATATTGCACATTCCCTGGGCCCATGTGACTTGGTGAGCTGACTTTGCCGATCGCATTCGGGTTGATTATTTTGTAGCCTTCCAGGTGCTGGCTTCACATGCTTTGTTTATATTGGTTTCGATACCGCAACACTGACCTCTAATCATTAACCCTTATTTTCTCTTGCACATCCTTGTTGCACATCCTTTCTTCAAGTCCCCCCGTCATTGCTAGACTGTACAAGAATCGGCATATGAAGCACGAGTTTTGATAAGGTTGCGTGGCAGAAAAACAACAGCATCGCCCTCCATTTTAATCAACATTTACATAACACAAAACCCATCACTCATATATTCTACCTCACCTCATCCGTCAAGATGGCGGCCGAAGATGGATATATGGAATTACAAAACGATATAGCAGAAAAACTCGGAGACGGGTCCGTTGACGCTATTCTCAACACAATGAACCGTTACATCTTGTATGATGCGGGCGCTCGGGAGCAAGGCAATGGTGGATGGGGATTCAGAGACGCCTTTCTAGAGTATGCCATACACCACAATTTTGCCTTTGCTGAGTCAGTGGAAAAGATGGAGTTTCTCAAAGAACTGGCTATAATCCTCTGCGACGAATGCGACGAAGGTTTGGAGACGGACGAGCTTTTATGCCTTTCTCGCAGAACCAAACTCTCAACCATCTTAGGACATCAATACACGCAAAGCGGTGAGTGCAAGCACCTCATTGACGCTGTCAGCGAGATCGAAAAAGCGGTGTCATTGTCCCCTCGAGCCCAGAGAACTCTGACCACTCGGACAGGAGGAGTGATGATGGTGCACCGTCCCGCCACGGTGCTGAATGCTTTGGACACATTGGCTAGCAGGCTTGATGAATATTTTCAACTTACCGGGGCCCTGGGCGTCCTGGACCGTTGTGTCAGTATCAGAGAGGCTTTGGCCGGCCTTGTGCTTGAACCAGCCCAAGAATGCCAGCGCGCTCAAATTGAACTCCTTATCAATGCCGCTGACAGTCTACACCGACGTTACGAGCAAAGTGATGAGGCGAATAACTATCTGGATCGGGCTTACCGTTACGCCCAAAAAGCTGTTCAATTATCTGAAAACGAGCAAGATCGACTATCCGGGGCTTTAGCTAAGTCGTCTCTTGCGGAGGTGCTTGGTCGACAAGCTCTTGACAACAATAACATGGATGAACTGGACGAAGCAATCCAATTGTCTCGAAGCGTACGGTCCTGTTTTTCGCAGGATCCCAGTCGTTTGATGGAAAACGGCGTTAACCTTACATTGCGTATCCTTCAAAAATATGACATGAGACGAAAAGTCCCAGGGAATATCGATGAGCAGTCATTACTAGAAGGAATTGATGAAGCCATCATGATTGCGGAGTCGACTGTTAGTGGCATGCCCGATGATCACCCAATCCGTCCTCACCTCAACAATCTCCTCGGGCACTGTTATTACGCCCGATACCAGCAAACAAGATTTGAGCAGCCTGATCCCACGGTTGCGCTGGGTTATCTCTGGACAGCGCTGAACAGTAATAAATACACCTCTCTGTTTCGCCGCATACAGGCTGGCCGACAAATTGTTCGTATCTGTTGTGATGCATCCATGTGGTCAGCGGCCTACGAAGCAGCGATCGCTATCGTCGCTCTTATACCCAAGCTCTCACCCCGCGCCATCCAAATTTCCGACAAGCAACGCATTCTGAGCGCCGATGATATTGTGGGGTTCGGTGCCGATGCGGTTGCTCTTGCGATAGAAGCCGGAAAGGGGGGCTACGCAGCCCTCTCTCTCGTCGAAAGTGCTCGAGGGTCGCTTGCTGCCTCAATATCCAACCTGCGCGTAGACATCCTGGCGCTTGATGCGGTTCATCCCGGGCTCGCCCGGCTGTTCGCAGAGGCACGGAATGAGCTCCAGCAAGCTAGCTCAACCTCGGCATCGTCGGCGAATGAGAAATTTGATAAACTCCTTGAGGAGATTCGGTGCCTAGAGGGATTTGGAGGTTTCTGTCAGCCACTGACCGAGGAGGCCACGCGCGAGGCAGCCAGGAGCGGCCCCATTGTGGTGCTCAGCGCAAGCGAATATGGAGACACCCGTGCTATTCTTGTGAAAAGCCAAAGCATTGATGTGATGCAGTTCCCTTTGGTTACTCTCCATAAGCTTGAACATAAGGACCAGGACATGCAAAATACCGAGTTCCTAAAATGGCTCTGGTTTGAGCTTATCAAACCAATCTTGGAAGCTCTTGGGTATACAGAACCACAAGAGGTCCAACCCCGAATTTGGTGGATCCCCATCGGTGTCTTCAGTAGAGTTCCCCTCCACGCCGCTGGTGACCATTCTCTAGACTCGACAGAAAACGTGATGGACTGGGTCGTGTCATCTTATAGCCTCTCCATTAAGGCCATTTTGAACGCTCGTCGCGCTGCCGTTGGTTCGCACCCTTTGGTGCTAGGTAAAGGAGAGGCGCTCCTGGTTGGCATGGCACGGACACCTAGGCTGTCAGTTTTATCTGCCGTAACGGAGGAGATGTCCAATGTTGAACGTCTTCTCCGCGACATGGGGCTCGACTGTACTCTACTCCAAAATGCACAAGCTCAAAAGCAAAGCGTTCTCGAACACCTTCAGACAAGTCAGGTCTTCCATTTCGCAGGCCATGGGGGCGAAAAGGAGCACAACCCGTTAAAAAGTGCTCTTCTACTTGAAGATTGGGAGATGGATCCCATGACGGTGGGCGGTGTGATGGGTTTGGATCTGCACAAAAAATCTCCCTTCCTCGCCTATCTCTCCGCGTGTGCAACAGGGCAGATCACCACGAGTAAGTTCCGCGACGAAAGCATTCACCTTATTAGCGCGTATCAGCTGGCCGGGTTCCGCCACGTCATTGGCACGCTGCGGGAGGTAAACGATGCCGCTAGCTTGGCGATGGCTACTGCTACGTATAAGAATCTGCAGAGCGGAGGCATCACAGATGAATCCGTCAGTCGAAGTCTTCACCAGGCTGCAAAGCAGTTGCGACACATGGCGAGGGACAGAGCTTCAAATAGAGCCTCGGCTGGCGGAAGGGATATTGTCCTGCATGAGGAAGTGGTTTTGGAGGGCGAGGAAAATTGGATTCCATTTGTTCATTTTGGTATTTAGCAAGATAATTTGACTCTAGCCTTATAAAACTTGAACAATCCCCGAATTTGATACAATACCGCGGTTGGACTTTAACCAGCATTCAGAGCAACAGGCTATGCTTGATGTAATATGTAGCCTGCAGACTGGGTGGGCGGTAGGCTTGATCTCTCCCGATCGAAAATTAATTTCGTTCCGGGGCAAAGCATATAGGCGCCGGTTTCCGCATTTCATAATCCCAATGCTGCTGAGTCGGAGAGACCCCGAAGTAACTAGTGTATCACGCTGAACCCATGATGTTCCCTTATCCAACCTCTTGCTGTACAGGCCCTGATCCGCTGGTTCCTGTTCGTGTGTTGCCCCCCGTAGCGCCTTGCCACAGTGCTCTTGGCATAGTATCATCTTATTCCAGCAACCAATTTGGTACTAGAATTGCGGTCATTATCCAAGGAATAAGTCGAGACATGCCCAAACCGGAGCCTGAATATAGTTTTGGGTGAGTCATTCGATGGGATAGATGAGAGCCAACAACTAAGCATGAGAGACACAAGCTAGCAATCATGTTTCTACTTAGCAGCTAATTCTTGCCGATGAAGCCCACGCAAGTGGCTGTCAGAAAAACAGGGACTGCAAAGTCACCTCGATAGAATCGTTGTGCAGTCAGTCACATTATAATGCTTCTTATTATTTCGTATTGTGTAATAGTAAGCAGACAATATTGCCTAGTAATTGCTCAATACATTATTATTGTGATTACTATTAACTATTGTCTGTTAATTTTGTGGCCTATATTGGAAAGTTGCGATCAGGACACGCCAGCTGCAGTTCAGTTGAAATCAAACGAGAGACCATGTGCAAGAGCCTAAAATCCATGTCAGTCGGGCTGTTCAAGGGCAGTATTCATTGTGATGAGTTGTCGGGCTCTGGCAGCTTCCATTGCTGTTGAACTTTATTCTCTTTCTCTTAGGTAGGTTCAAGGGCAGTAGCAGCGGGCAGTACTCACGGCATCATCCCATTCCCCGCCCCCTAGAAAATCAAAATCCCCAATATCGTCAAGATCCAGAGTCTGGCAGGTATTGTCCAACGGGCCTGCCTCGTTTATGGTCGTTTCGCCGTTCTCTCCAACCATAGCCCGCAGTATCTCGATGCATTCTGCTGCCCCCTTTTCGGCGGCCTCGTGGAGCATCTTGTCACTCTCCGACTTGGACCAACGAGCTTCAAGCCCATTGATATGAGCAAGCATACAGGCGGTGCTTACCAATGCCTTGACATTTGTGTCCCCGGCTCTGAGGCGTTCCCGGCACAGCTCGTACCACGACTGAAGGATCGAGCGCACCTCGGTCATGCCTGATGTGAGGGTCCCGTAGTGTGATCGGGGCTCTTTCTCTAGGGTCTGGGCGAGATCCACAGCCAAGGTCAGAATTAGTTGTGCCTGCGTGGCTCGGTATGGGCCGCTGCCGCACAGGAAGAGGCGGGAAAAGTCCCAGTCCGAGAGGGTGGCCAGAAACGCCCGAGATTCAGGGGTTAGGTATGTTATTGCGGCGAGGCGCGTGGCCGTATCGGTGGACATCGTGCGGGAAAAATGATAGAAGGGATTATGCAGTGCTTGAGGGAGGAGGGGCAGGTGAAGGGCCAAGAAGAAGCGGTACATGGTGAACTCGGCGTATCTCAGCTGAAACGAGGTGATTCCGCCCATCTTGTGGAACTTGCCCAGTCGTCGCATAATCTCTTGCAGACAGGTGCTGAGCTCCAAGTTGACAGCAAAAGTTTTGTTGAAAGAAGTCGTGGAACGGACGCCATTGACTGCTTTGGCGACAGCTAGCCGGGCCGGCCAGGTCTCTAGGAGGGCGAGTTGGATCGCCGTCTCAGTGCACTCTTCTAAGTCGTTCGTAAATGGGGATGCCGGCTCAGCATGGTCAATGAGCTGCTCATCATTGGCATTAGCGGGTGGCTCGGTATCGTAGTCTTCGGGGGATATGAGAGGAGTTCCCCCAGAGTCTAGGCTGGCTTGAAGGACGATCTCTAGGACTGTAGCCCACAGGCGCCGACGCATCTCTGCCTCGCGTACCGTCATTCCGGGGAAGGACTTTGGATCTTTGTGGAGCCCAATATGTGTTGCTGTATGAAGGAGGGTTCCGGCACCGATCCAGCTCAGATCGGAGCTCATATCGGTGATATTATTTGCGTGCTGTAATAGGCAGATGATCTGCATGCCTGTGATGCTAATTTTATGTCTCTTACAGGCTAATGTGAGCCAGAGGTTTGCCTCCAAGACCCAGTGGCAGGCAGACGAGCGGAGCGAGAAAGTATTGTCTTCAAAGGCGGCGCCGATAGCCATACAAAGCTGTAGAAGAATGACGAAGGAGCCGTCGGCTGCCAGAGGGGCTGCCCAGTACCTTTCGTAGTCGGCGCGGAACGTAGTCACATGAGTGGTGCGGTACACAGTCTCAAAGGTCCTCAAGTAGGCCTCTACCAGCTGATCTGCTAGCTGTCTCGTGGGCATCCGCTTCCCAAAAGAGGTAGTGGTGGCAGAGTCTAGGACACGGTAGGCCTTGACCTGCCTCGCCAAAGACTTGCACGTCTGAAGCTGGCAGTAGAGATCGCCGCCGTCTGTCTCTACTTCTTTGAGGAAGTCCATGAGAACGGGCATCTGACATGGTTAGTAAGAGGCTCTAGCTAGAGGTTGGGTGGCAGTCCTTACAAGGTGTGCAACATTAAACCAATGACTTCGCCCCAGATATTGCATTTTGGTGATCATGGCCTTGTCCTGGCGCTGGAATTTGTCGCCAGTTTCGTCTTCACATAGCTGACGGGACTTTTCCAAGTCATGCTCAAGCTGTCTGATCCGATTTTCAAGTGAGGCTACGTGAACGTTTGTCGGAATTCCCGGGAGGCTTTCCGGAGTGAGCGTCGTGACCCCGGGGATGAGGGTTTTCGTCTGCTGAGCGGTACTCGAAGCCGCGTCCGATTGCGACAATTGGTCTGCCAGAGCAGGCGACGGTCTGGATCCGGTAAAGCCATTGGAATTGCCCGATTCAGAGAGCCTTGGCGCTGAGGTGGGATTAGTACCATACCCTAAGCTTGGAGCCTGGACAGGGTGGACAGTTCCAGATGGTATAGAGGGGCTCAACAAGGTCACTTTCTTTCTGGGCTGTGGATGCGGCGCGTAGGTGCAATGTTGGTTCCGAGATCGTTGGCACGCCGCGCAGGGGTGAGTCCTGTCGCAACGGATCTTGCGCGCCCGGCACTGGTCGCAGGCCAGAGCAGGTCGCCTCCGCTTGCTCCCCGTGGCTTTTGATGAAGGGCTTGACTGATTCTGAGTTGACATGATCGGGACGCGTTGGTCGGCTTAGTAAACATGGTCCGGACGCGTTGGTTGGTCGGCTTAGTAAGCGGGAGAAGGAAAGAGCGAGGGAAGAAAAGGCATGGAATGAGGGACTGGGGACGTTGCATATTAAGGAGCACCTATGTTGCTAAGAACTTTGCGACAGAGAGTAACGAGACGTCGCCCATGCCAGACGCGTATGTTCAAGGAAGGATGGAAGTGAGCGATTCTGTGTCACTGAAGTCATCAGTGGCGGTGGCCCTTAACTCCGAGAATCCTGGTAGCTAATTGGAGGAAGCGGCCGAGAATGAAGCCAAGCACCGAGCGGCGAATCAAGACAGAGCTTCACCCCGAGGCTCCCAAACCAAATACCAACATTTTCTCTGCCCCAGCCATATGCAGGTGGTCATTTTTAAGGAATTGTCGTGCAGGCAGTAAAAGTACCATTGACTCGGGACCCAGCCGGCATGGGGTACTCTACTTGAGCCTAGAGAGCGAGCCCAGTTATAGCTTACAACACCATATTCGACCAACAATTCCCTTACGTGGGCTATTTTCGACGTTCTATACGCCTTAAATTATTTGTTCCTTGCGTGTAGGTCTTATTAGATACTTATTTTAAGAATTTACTACAAGGCTTGATGAAGGGCGGAGAGCCAGTTATAGGCCCATCTATTGATAAGATCAAGTAACCACGGCTCAAGGAACAAGGACCCCCCTCACGCCTTCTTGAGCTCCTCGTTGATGCCATTATACGTCCAGTTATAGTTCATATTCTGGAAAGAGTTCACCTCGTCCAGCTTCTGGCTCGCCACGCGAGTGTTGAGCTGCACCTGCGACGCCCTGGGCCTCCGCACCGCCTCCCACTGCTGGAGGATACTTGGGACATCTGATGGTGTCACACCAGGCTCCAGTAGCAAACTCAGCCCTTCGGCGTCCTCAATCGCCTGCCCGGCTCCTTGGCCTTGGAAGGGCGCCATGGCGTGCGCCGCGTCGCCTATCAAGACAGCCCGGCCGGAGACATAGGTGGGGAGAGGGTCGTGGTCCCGGAGCTCCCACACTTTGACTTCCTCGGCGTATCTATCGGTTTCAATTTCAGATGCTACATTCGGAGGCGTGGCGGAGGGAGGCTCGGAAAACTCACTGCATCAATTCTCGATAGAACGGGGGAAAGTCCTTGAAGATGTCCAAAACCTCGTCAATGTCGCCGTTGGCGAACCACGACTCTGTAGCCCTTTTACTGAGGTACTCGTTGGGGAAGGCACAGCTAAAGTTGACGTATTGAAATTCACGGCATGGGTACGTGATGATAGCCCGGTTGGTGCCGTCGTCGAGTCTGGTAATGGAAAGGTAGGCGCCGATTTCGGGATTCCACCAGTCAGGGAGATGCCCAGCGGCCTTTTGGGCATTCTCTGAAGACACCAGGAACCGGAAGATGCTCTGGCCAGTTGGAGTTGTGGCGTATTCACTGCTGCCCACAATCTTCTCCTTGATCTTTGTGTGAATGCCGGCTGCCACTATCGAGGTATTAACATTGCTGTACGGCAGCAAAAAAGAAAATCGACTCACCGATTATGACATCCCCCCGGATAGTCTCTCCATTCTCAAGAGTGACAACTCCAGTGTCGGGATCAATGTCTGTCACCGCGGCCTTGTAACGAAGCACTGGGGTTTTCCCCGGGCCGTCTTGGACCGCAAGGCGATGCAACTCACTCCTTACATCCATACGCAGCTGCATCAACCAGTCGGCTCCCCAGGTCGATTTCATATCCAGCGGGATGGTCTTGACCAGAGCTCCAGTCGCCCCATCGTACGCTCGAAGGCCCTTGCTCTCGACGGCTCGCACGCGCTGGCGGTCGTAGCCAATCTTCTCGACAATCTTGACGGCGTTGGGTCCAAAAACAAGACCTTGCCCGCCGGCGACCTGATTCGCGTCCCCGCACTCGAGCATGGTGACGTCGGCGCCTGCCCGGAGCATGGCTGCCGATGCCAGGCCGGCGATGCCTGCACCAACGATGACGATCTTGAGGGACATGGTGGATGGAGATTTGAGGGACAGTACTGCCGTGGTTATGTAGAGTTGAGATGCTAGGCGTTTGGTGAATGTCTTAGGTTTATATGATGATGAACTTAGACAAGGCTCTCCGGCTGTTCCTTTTATATACATTCAGACTGTGCACCAAACGCTTGCATATCACCGAGAACACGCATGTGCCCTTAAGACGGCATCGTATACACCGACAAATAGCGGGTCATGATCTTGTTCTTGTAGCGCAACTGTCTGGAGTCTTCGGAGTCGGGCTCGGTCGACAGATGAGCCCTCGGCCGACTTTCACGTCTACGGACTCGGTCAAGGAAGGCAGCAGGCCGCGGGTTGCGCAAAGTGTCGGTTGCGCATTAAATAAAATAACGTAAGATCCGCCTTCTCCCGAAGGTCCAGCCCGAGTTACGTACACCTCCAGCCAGTCCTTATAAGTCATGCCGACCTTCACTTGAACAACCACGAAACTATTGCTAACAACCTCGAGATAAGCGTTAACAGCCACGCGACTAGCGTTCTAGAAAATTCAACATGTCCACTTCAATGCAGCACGAGTCCCTCCCAGCTTCTGAACTCCCGGAAGGACCATATGGGAGCAGCGACCCGACACGTCTCTCCTCCGACTCGACGGGGATAGCTCGACCCGAAATGGAGAACACCAAAATTGAATCGAGTCCACAACTCACCGATGAAGCGCCTGACGGTGGCGCTGCGGCTTGGTTGGTGGTTCTGGGTGCTTGGTGCACTTCGTTCTGCAGTTTTGGCTGGCTGAACAGTGAGTTGCGGCACCAATATGAGGTTGGGTTTCGTCTAACAGGATTTTACTCCATTTAGGTGTCGGCGTTTTCCAGGAATATTACCAGAACGTCTTGTTGAGCAGCTACTCTTCAAGTGTAATCGCTTGGATCCCTTCGCTGCAAATCTTTTTCATGATGGCTATGGTGAATTGTACAATGGCCTGGTTCTGGGAATGTCGCTAATGGTTTACTCATAGGGCCCCGTCGTCGGTACCTTGTTCGACAGATATGGTCCTCGCTGGCTGCTCCTCATCGGCAGCCTGCTTCATGTCCTCGGCGTCATGATGGCGAGTCTGGGCAGCCAGTACTACCAGATCTTGCTCGCGCAGGGCGTCTGCTCGGCCATCGGCGTTGCCTGCATCTTCCAGCCGGCCATGAACGTCATCGGGGGCTGGTTCGACAAGAAGCGCGGAGCTGCTTTCGGAATCCTCAGCACTGGCTCCTCGCTCGGCGGTGTGGTTTTCCCCATCATGGTGAATCGCCTGATCCGCCGTGCTGGCTTTGGCTGGGCCATGCGTGCCGGCGGCTTCCTCATTCTCTTTCTGCTCATCATTGCGAACCTCACGATTCGAGCATATCGCCCGCCGCATCCACAAAAAGTCACGGGTGCCATGGTGAGGAAGCCCTTCACGGAGCCCGAATTTGTCCTCCTCTCGGCTGGTCTGTTCTGTTTCACCTACGGCCTGTTCGTTCCCATCAACTACATCACCGTCCTAGGTCTTCACGCAGGCATGGAGCCGAACCTGGCGGAATATCTTGTCCCTATGCTCAACGCAGGCTCCCTGATCGGTCGCATGTTCTCCGGCATCATGGGCGATCGAGTAGGGAAGTACAACATCTTCATTGTCGTCTGCTACCTCTCGAGTATCTGGATTCTAGGGCTCCTTATCCCAACTATAACCAACGCATCGCTGATTGCTTTTGCGGTGCTCTTTGGCTTCTCCTCGGGCGCGTACGTTTCGCTCCTCACTCCCTTGGTTATGCAGATCTCTCCCCTTAACGAGATCGGTCTTCGTACGGGCATCATCTTCTTCATCAACGCAGTCGCCGGCCTTACGACCAACCCGATCAACGGCGCTATTTTGGCCCAACCGAATGGATGGCTTGGTATGAAACTGTTCGCTGGGATGTTCTGCTTAGTCGGTACCACATTTGTGTTGGCGGCGAGAGTTCACAAGACGGGATGGAGACTCAACGCTACATTCTAAAGGCTGCAATGCACTCACGAGCTCAATGGTTGCCTTGCCGTGGGGTAGCGTCATAGACTGGTTAGAGAGTATAATTTCCGGTTTAGATGTTATCAGGTGGCAATGTAGTGGCAGGGTGAGGGGAGTTCATCATCTGGCCGTTGGGTAACATCTGTGCTCTTTGAGTTGTGTAACACTTCCCGACCGTACAGAGCTTCACATCAACCAATTTCTCAAGGTATATAATGGAAACGCAGTATTTCGTCATTAATTGATTCCGCTTCTATTGTACAAAGTTCGAAATTAATATCCGCTTCATGAATACCCATAGAGATATTGTGAGCAGCAAAAGTGGATACCACGATCCGTGAAGGAAGTTGGGGGAAGACAATTGTCTGGTACTATCAATGACCACTTTGAAAAAGAAACATTTTCCCTCCAAGCCCCCAAGTTCACTTTTTGCACCACTTCACTCAGTCGCTCATTCCTTTCAAGTTTCGACCTCCATCCACTCGCCGACCACAATCTACAACATCATGGACTCGTCTACATGGAAGGCACATGGTCTAATCCGCACTCCACAACTGGAGTTTTATTACCAACAAGCCCCAGAAACGGAGGACAAAAGCATCCGGCTTTTCGCCCAGCTCCTGGCCAAATACATCTTCCCGGGCAACAATTTCGCCGTCGTACCTGGGCCGACACCATCCACCCAAGCACGAAAGCCCAGCGACCTGGTTGTCGAGCGGTGCAACACCAAGATGGACTTTGAAGTCCTGTGTTTCGTCGATGCCAAGAAGCCCACCAACATCGCCGCCGCTCGAGTCGCCTACCTTGAGGAGCAGGCTCTGATCCATTGCACAGAGCTTCTCCGGGCAAACCCCTCCTACAAGCGCGCCTACGCCTGTACCGTTGTGGGAACTTACATCCGTTGCTGGGTGGTGATGCCGAATGACGGCAGCTTCGAGATGACGGGCTTGTGGTCGTGGTTCCAACTGGGAACCTTTGAGCACTACCTTGACGTCGGCCTGGATGCAAACAGGGTCACTTTGGAGCGGGCATTCAACCAGATGCAGAACCTTCCCCCGTCTGGGGAACGCTAACGAGAAGAACGTTGTTGGGAATAGGAATAGATTGGGTGCCTAGCTTAACGTTGCGGCACGAAGAATCAAGTACCCCGCCAGAGAGTTCCTCTGGGACATGAACTATCTCCCACCATGTGAAAATGTGTTAAATGATTTTTCATCCCTGAGCTACATAGTCCTGCTTTTTTCGCAATACCTCCAACGTCCCCCTGCCCCGTTCGCGGCACTACTCTAGTAGGTAGTGTCGGAAAGGCTCGTGCGAGTCTCGTAGTCCGTAGTATCGAGGTCGTACTGGGCGCATTTCGTGTGGGATCGGTGCCTTGACTGGCTTCCACCTTGGTAGTTGTGCTAGTAGTATCTTCCCACACGCTCATTGTCACCTTGTCGCCATTGTGTCGTCTGATATCAGTGTGGTCTAATCCAAAAGTGGCGAACTTGGATGTCTATATTGTGAAGGACGAGCGCCTGAACCGTGATTTCTCGCCGCAGTGAATTCTGGTCTCTCTAGATCTCTGCAGCGATAGGCTTGTAGTTGGTACGATGAGACTGCTCATTGGTCGAGTCGCCTTGAGAACCGCATACCTAAGAGAAAGAGAATAAAGTTCAACAGCAATAGAAGCTGCCAGAGCCCGACAACTCAACACAATGAATATCCCTGGTACGATGAGACTGCTGATTAGTCGAATCGCCGTGAGAATCGCATGGTCATCCAAGGATTCAAGATCCCTGGTTCCCTGGTACGATGAGACTGCTGATTAGCCGAGTTGCTGTGAGGATGACATGGTCATCCAAGGATTCAAGATCCCTCTTGTCCTGCGCCCACCTAACCCCACCAGAGCCCGACAACTCAACACAATGAATACGGAAGCTTAAAAAAAGCCTTTGCTAGCCCAAGGCTGCAGTCATGCGGAAAGAAAAGTCTGCAAACCTTCCTGCCGATGACTAACTTGCCGTCAGGACGAGCGGCTCGTCGAATGACTATTAAAGCTACCTTCTTTCACCTGGCTTCCTTCGTTCGTCTTACACCAATCCAAGCACTTCAACCGAGCTCGAGGCTACGGGCGTGTGCCTCAGGATGAGCTCGATGCCAATGCCATCTCGGAATTGAAGGCCAAGGGGTTGCAGTGGTAGGTGTTTCTGACAGAAAGAGACGAAGGGATTGGAGGAGATAGCATTCATAGAAATGCTCGCTCTTAAGCTTTGAAACACAATGGAAAACCCTGGTAGGCATTGTAATGCTATGTTCGTGTTTTTCAGGCGCCTTTCGGTCGCCTGCTTGGTGTTGATCAGCTTTAGGACGTTCCCGTCAGGTTGAGGGTGTTGCCATCCTTCGGTGGCATGGTCATCCAAAGATTCAAGATCCCTCTTGTCCTGCGCCCACCTAACCCCGGGAGGCATTGTAATGCTATCTTCGTGTTTTCCAGGCGCCTTTCGGTCGCCTGCTTGGTGTTGATCGGCTTTAGGACGTTCCCATCAGTTTGAGGCCATTGCCATCCTCCGGTAGCATGAGGACGGACGTAGTACTCCCCGTAGATACGGAACGAAATGTGCGTGGCCCTAGTACAAAAAGAGAGCTGAGCCTGTATCATATTAGCTTCAGATACGAGCAGTCCACAAAACAAGCACGCGTGGTCTCACCCAGAAACGCCTTTGCCGGACTTTGAGGGAGGAGGTGTGTTATGTGAGATGTGGACATGGAGAACTTGCGGGGGAGGTGGTGGTGGCGGGGGAGGGTTCCGAGCAGTGTCGCGCTGACGTCTGTATTCTTCGATCTATGTCTTCAAACATTGTTGCCATCTGTTCCATTTACAGGAGAGATGAAATTGATGAATTCTGGGCAGAACAGAATTGAATTGACGAGATGATGAGGATACTAAGCTTACTGTTGTGTGGCCGGAAGCCACGGAGGCCTCTTGGCTAAGTAGCTGGTTGCACGGAAGGTGCGATGGATGTGTTTTGCCTTCAAGGCAGGCGGTTAGGGGTTTCACAGCACTCTCTTGCGGTCATGCTGGCAGCTGAGCATGCTACCCTAAGGGCTGCTCCTTCCACATAATCTACCTGTCTTTCCTATCCCCCTTCTGAACATTATTTTCATTTGAGCATAGCTATTAGCCTCCAAAATAATACTTTGATTATTCCAGCAGCCTTACTCTTGATGCCTAACTAAAGATATGTTCAGTTATAAAATAGGCTCGGCCACAGTCCCTTGCGAGGATCCCCAAACACACCTGTGCTCCAAGACCCCCCTAGCGCGCGTAGGTTGTCGACAAGTTGTGCCTTACTGGTAAGGCATCCGCGTGAACTAGTTTGTCGCGGAAGGAGCGTCTGAATCATATGTCGCGTTAGATAAGTCGATGACGAATCGACTGAGCAGTCAGTCGTTTTGGGGAAGGAGCGGTCTATTGCGTTTGAGGGTTCGTCCGCTAGGCGAGAATTCAATGAGTGGTCGTTCTGGTGAGAACTCGATGAGGGCACGGGTGAGTTACTGTTTTAGCGCTTTCAAGAGTCTTCACTAAGGACGAAATTTATTTCTCTGGCGTTATCGGGAGGGGAACTGGAAGTTTAGGACCTAGGAGTTTGTCCGCTTCTTTCCTCTAGCGACGTAATATCGTAGGAAAAGCTCCACGCCGCTCAATCCATTCGAGACATCATGGACCACAGGTCAGACCGGTCGGACCTGACGTATCGGACGGATCAGTCCAATAGGTCATATGACCCGGTTGGATCCAAAAGATCCAACACATCGAGAACCTAGCTTTGATCAATTCAATTCGATCCTCTAAAACTCAATTAATCTGTCCCTTGTGACCGTCGTATAACAACTGGTAGCAATTCTGCCAAGTCGCTGACACCATACCATACCACGCAATACAACCATCCATTAAAATGCCGCGTCTGACATGTTTTCTTGGTTTCCTGATGATACAATTGACGTTGCAGAGTAAATATCGCTCGAATGCAATGTCCGCATCTGATATGGTGACAGGGAGGGCAGCGAATCGGAAAGGCTCCAGCCGTGGCCCTAATTCGAGCCTGGAAGCGATCGACCCCACTAAGTCCTAGCACTAACTGCCCGTGCTTAACCCACAACTTCCACCAGCGCATCGATCCCACCAACAAAATACCTACCCTACAGTACTCGTCGTACAAGGACAACTAAAATGGCAATCTTTGACCGCAAGTGTAAGCAGACAGGTCGTGCATTTCCCAGCGCCAACTCCATCCTCCAATCTTCCATTCAAGCATCCTTTCGACAGTTGTCACCTACCAAAGTGATGCGCACCTACAGAGACCGAAATCACCGTTAACAATCAAGAAGCCCATCGTTATCTCCTCCCACGGGTCAAAATTTGTACGCCACCAGACCAGGACCGACACAATCGTCCCATATGTCTAACGTGCCGCTGGTGGATTTTAGGTGTCAAGACAGCCACGACGCTATCGTGGTCAGGGCCATTCTCTCAGGACTAGCCACCGCTTTAATGAAACTCAAACTGATATTCATCCTTCAGGGGCCACCGTTTCTGTTTAGCAAATCAGCAACGCGAACCGAAATTAGCCAACAAAGACCACGAATCGTCATGAAACGAAACCTAGCCTATCTTAGTGATAGCCCCATCGATCTCCTCTACCTCTCATCCGAACGGCAACAAGCTTTATACCAAGGAAGAGCCCAAGTGAGGGCATCTTGTGCTTGCCATTGAGACGTTCATCAGTTCCAGCTACCATCACACGAGCCTGACTGGAGCAATAGTAGGGCACGCTGTCCAATCTCTTTGGTCATTAAATTCAAACACTACATACAGACGCCATGAAATCTAAGCCCCGATTCGCCTTCACTCTTGTCTAGGCTTTTCCGGCCACCAAAAGTCAGCCCGGTGCGTATCTCCACAAGCTTGTATCTCTTGGAGTCGGCGCTCTCTCTCCTGTCCCAGCTCTTCGATTTTTCTCTGCCTGGCCTGTCGATCGTCCTCGTTTGACGAACTTTTGGCACGGTCCTGATTGTTACGAACTAGCATTCGCTCGTGCTTGGTGTTTGGGTCGACCATATCGAGGACGTTTGGAAGAGCGTCCAAGATGGCCAGCCCCAAGTCTGCCATGCCGTGACTTCTAAAAGTAATCACTCGTCGGAGCTTGTCCGAGGCCTCATCTGGGCATACAAGATTGCATTGGCGGAAGGGCCGGGTCTCGTTCACCCAATGCTTCACATCGGACACAATTTTCTCTGCGTCCCTGGACTCACTGAACATTGTTAGCATGTCTTGCATCTGTGGCGAAAGAAAAGAAGAACTCACGCGGGGATGACTTTGCTCATTGCCCTGAGAACACAGAGACAGATCGTGATCTGCTCCTCAACCAACAGGACTAGTTCAGCAGGCTCGGGGATGCTAAAGATGTTGGGTAGCATCGCACATGATCGATGAACCTCACCGACCAAGTCTGTCGCCTGCTGGCATAGGTCCTCCCCTAAGATAGAGAGAAGTTCAGGATCTAGTTGGCGACTTATCTCCTCTAGAGATCTTCTGCCATTGTGTAAGATGTTGCGCTCCTGCATTTTAAGAGCCCACACCAGCTTTTCAATGCCTCCTTTTAGGCGCCCTGCATTGGAGACATATACCCCTTCATAGAATTTCAGGTAATTCTCTTGTCGAGTTGCCATGTTGAATGCTACCTCGGAATGGTGCCGTGTAGCGCAGTGTGGAAACACCCTGAGATGTTGATTTTAGACACAACGAGTGCTGCTTATTTTTTTTTTTTGGGTAAGAATCTAAGACACTCGGAACCTGTTCGGGAAGAAGCGAGAGGTTTAAGTATTGAGGCGAGCTCACAGAGAATCAGAACTCTTTGTCCTGCCAAGGGCTAACATTGCGCGAACAAGATACGAACAAAACAGACAATCAGACAATGTTTCTTGGTAGATCGAGCTTTGTCCAACTCCGATATCCCAAGAAAACGGAAAAGTTAGGCTAAGAGACGAAAAGCGAACTCTCTTGTCCTCATCAAGGATAATGTTAATGTATATACTCTGTCATAGAAATAATATCTGGGGGATTGGTTTGGGTGACAACAAGTATTTTGGAGAGTTTAGCGTTCAATTGATCCTTGGTGGTTTGTAGTTTAGCCAACAACACAGTCTAGTAATAATATGGTGGTAACTTTCTTTCACAGGAAAGTACATTGCGGTGGGACCAAAGGTCGACGCCTTGTTTTGTTGGGAACTTCGAAGTTCCTACATTCTCATCCATTATTTCGCAGGATTCGGCCCTTTGGCAGATTTTGGGCACACTTCGGCAAGTATAGCCTCATCCTTGCTCAATCTCTGGCCCTATATAAGGGTTGTCAATTGAAAGGATGGCTTGTGCATGCTTGCTAGGTTTGCTGCCACGTCTTTGATTTCGATAGCCAATTATCGGTTCCCTATTCCATCACACCTAGAAGTTGGGAGAAGTGGACATTAATTAACAGTTTGTCATGGTCAACGAGATACGGCAACAAAGGTCACCGCTAGCAAGCTTGATCAATCAGCTGTTCTTTATCCAGAGTCAACACACAGGCTCAATCAAACCACAATTGTAGTACGATGGTCTGAGTCGTGTATTGTTGAATCAGACAGTATGCCACAGGACTGCAGGCTACGAACTGTCAGATGTCGCAGCCTAGTCATCGTCTCACCACCCATTTTGTGAAAAGTACCTCCGTGAAAGGAAACCTGGTGCGCCAACTATTGTGTGTACCTAGATGACTGATTAAATGGGTTTGTTTTATTCCACCATCCTAGTCTTTTCCTGTACATACCTTTAATGACTTTAATAGATGATTCTATGAGATTTGATGAAAAGAAGTTACTAGATGGTCATATGATAAGAATGTTTAGGGGCTCAAATGCAGAGAAACAGTCAACGGGAGATGTGGTGTAGGTACGTTGGAAAGAAGAACTGGAAGCTTGGCTGGTCAAGGTTCAAACCTCACCGCCGCCTGACGCGTAGATTTGAAGCAGCAGCCATTATGCATCTCCACCGCTAGGTTGGCACCCAGGAACCTAATGTTGTGAAGTTGCCTAAATTTACTTTCCACTCGGAACTCATATTTAAGCTTCAACATGAGCACGTGAACCTTTTTCTTTTTTTTTCCCCCAAGGTTCTTGTTGCCCGCTGTTGCCGGAATAAGAGGACGAAGTATGTGGCTTCTTCTCGAGATTTGTATCTGTCACTGACTCACGAAGAGCAGCACATTTCGTAAGGTCCTGAGAGCATTCTATATAGAGCAGCTGGGCCACTCCCTAGCTCCATATTAGGAAACTGCAGTTGCCTCCCCTATTAGGGACAGTTTCGTTTCACAGGAGAGCAGTAGTCAAGCTTCCAGCACGCATAGCAGATAAAAGTTGCAACACCCGTTATGTCGTCCGAACCTTCCAAAGCAGAGGGCACCTCCGAACCACTCGACCCTTCCAAAGTCGGGGCCACGGCGGAACAGGACCCTCTTGAAGACCGCCCTCCCGGTTATTCAGTTGACATAAATCCTCCGAATTACGAAGTGAACGAAATTTGCGATCGACAGCCTGATGCCACGGAAGAAGAATGGAGACTTGGTTCCCCGTTGCATGGAGAAGCCCCTTGCCCGGAAGACTGGCCAACCAGACCACAAGCCAACCTGGTCTTTTGCATGACGCCACTAGGTTTCCTATCGCTGGTACGGGAATGGTTCAAGACTGTCCCCGAACGAGATTGGGTCGCAGAAATACAGATCAATGCGAAGAACATCCCGGGTCTCATGCGAGATGGTTTCCACTGGTCATCGGCTAATATCGTGCCCGGGCGTGGTTCCATTCTACTTGACATGCGGGATCACCTCAAAGAGATTGGTCTCGGACCTACAAACTGCAAGCATATGCGAACATACAAGCTGAAGGGGAACGAAAATACCGACATTGAATGGAGAGGTACACTGACTGTGTACGCTATGAGGTCTTTTACTGTTACCAATTTCGACCTCAACTGGTTGACCCAAGACAAGATCATATTCGTCACAGCTTTCGACTGGAACTCGAAGCCAGTCTATGCATATGAACGGTATCGAGCGAGCAAGAACTTTAACGTGGTGTATGAAGGCATGCCTTTGGAAGGCTGGTGGCCCTGGCCCAAGGCTGCACCACCTTCACAAGGAAATCATTCCAAGCAGGCTGTCGCGGAGAACTCAGCTGGGGAAAGTTAGTCTGTTTTCACTTGCGCCATCTAAATTACAATTGGGAAGTTTGAATGCAGTGAAAATGTCAGTTGATTTATTATTGCGTCAAAAACTTATCTTCTTTAACCTCATAGGTGCCTGGCTGGGAAGGTTCAGAGGCTCAAAACAAAGCTGTTTCGGCTGGGCCTGCCTCGTCATCCATTGCCCCTTTGGTCAATTTGAAATCACATGTAGTGCCGCAAAGAGGAAGCTTCCTCCTCGGAACCCTTGAAGTTTTTGAACCTTGTGAATGAATCCATGACGTTTGTTGTTGTTGTTATTGTCGTCTTCTCTGAGTCATCCCTACAAGCAGGCAATATAGATTTAAAGTCGTGACATAGTCCCTCGATCCTTGAGATTCTTTTTCTTCCTTTCTTCCTTGTGTCGAACGTATCCAAACTCTTGCATATCCTCATAGCTAACCTTGCTTCACAATGGCTGAGCTTACCGGTACGCAGCAGCTTATCATCACTACCAATTCGGCAACCGGAACCAATGGGAGCGGCAACGACGAGCAATCGCCGGGTGACTAGCAAATTATTGGAACCAGTAGCGCGTTTTGAGAACTGTGAGCCACAGGGTAGGTAGAGGATGGAGCTTGCGTTGTGACCCCAATGTGTCAGGGGGAGCACGTCCACGTGATTCGCAGTTTAGGACACTGGCCATTCTCCGGCCAACCAGACGGCAAGAAACTTGACACCAGCATCACCAGCACCACCAGCAGTAGCACCACCTGCACCACCACCGGCGTCACCACCAGCACCACCACCAGCATCACCACCTGCACCACCACCAGCGTCACCACCTGCACCACCACCAGCACCACCACCAGCACCACCACCAGCACCACCACCAGCACCACCACCAGCACCACCACCAGCACCACCACCAGCACCACCACCAGCACCACCACCAGCACCACCACCAGCACCACCACCAGCACCACCACCAGCACCACCACCAGCATCACCTGCACCACCACCAGCGTCACCAGCACCAGCACCAGCACCACCGCCAGCATCACCACCACCAGCATCACCGCCAGCTGCATCACCAGCATCACTAGCACCACCACCACCACCACCACCACCAGCACCACCAGCACCACCAGCACCACCAGCACCACTAGCACCACCAGCACCACCAGCACCACCAGCACCACCAGCACCACCAGCACCACCGCCAGCTGCATCACCACCAGCACCACCACCAACATCACCACCAACATCACCACCAAATAGACACCAAATCGATGCCTTACCTACCCCTGTCAACCCTACCCGCAAGCCTTCGACTGGCGCTCGAACATTCGCAATTTCTACATTATGGACAGCGGGTCTGAGCTGCAACGCTTAAGGGCAAGAATCGCACAGCTCGAGCAGACGAACGAGCAACTCGAGAAAACGAACGAGCAACTCGAGAAAACGAACGAGCGACTCGAGCAAGACAACGAACTCCAGCAAAATACAACTCTAAGCCAATATCTAGACAACTGCCACCACCATCTCTTCGCATCTTTGACTGTACGGCCCGACATTTCCGGTACCAGTGTTACAAAGGTGGATGGAAAATACTACCCCTCCAGCCTTAGTGCTTGGGGAGACTTCGCACGGCTGCAACAACACCAATTCGAGCTCTTAGAGGGCGCCTTGAAGGATGAGCGACTTTTCCCCTCATATATCGGGGTCCGCGAGATGCAACGACGCGCTTGTGAGACCCCAGTAGCAAATGAGGACGATATCAAGCCCTTCGAACACATTGCAGTGGAAGGGCCGGTCATGGATATTATTCGAGCCCTATGCGCAAAGGCAGATTCGAATTCTAGGGTTGCAGCTCTTCACACATCTCGCATATCCTTCGCCAATCACTCTCTCAGCATCCACATACCAGTCGACGAGGTTATTCAAAGCACGACAAGGGAGAAACAGCGACGTAATACATCCCCAACGAAACGGGTGGCCATCGAGCCTAAGGAGATCAGACCGGACCGCCGATGTCTTCGTGAGGATACAGAAGGGAATCGCTCGATAGCTTTTGTCGTTGAGTACAAGGCTGCGCACAAACTACAAATCAACCAAGTCCGTCGGGGCCTCAACGAGCACTTGTTTTCACGTGCTATCAAGCGTCGACTTAGTGGCAAGTCAAGAACAGACGACAATCAAGCCCTAGAAGATAGATCTGATAATGTACTTGCAATGGTCTTGACACAAACCTTCGACTACATGATCAGATTGGGGCTCGAGTACAGCTACTTGACTGCTGGAAAATCGTTCATCTTTCTCCGCGTCAAAGCAGACGACCCCAAAACATTGTACTATCATTTAGCCGATCCAGACGACGAAGCGGAAGATGAAGACGGCGAATTAAATTTGTCCAGGACTGCTGTTGCTCAGGTTGCTGGGTTCTCTTTATTAGCGCTCCGATCAAATCTGCAGCCAGCAAAGTGGACTTCAGAGGCTCAAGCAGAATTGTCTCAATGGCCCATTCCATATTCAGAAATGGAGCGCGAATCAACAGATGATGAGGTCCTTTCGCAGAGGTTTTCCCTTTCATCTGACCCATATTTTCCCGAGGAAGATATCGATAGCCCTAAACAAAAAATGGCTCTGCGCTCGAGATCCGCATGCAAGGATTCAGAAGTAATCAAGAAAGATGACAGAGATGATGCTGACGACGCTGATAACGCTAAAGATGACATCAATCTGCCCAGTCACAGAAAAGGGAATGAACTGAGCACCAAGCGGAAGGACGCACCATCCTCAAGCTCTAGTTTTGAAGAAACATCAGATGGTAGGGAGCAGTCGCGACAGTATTGCACTATGGACTGTCTTCTGGGTCTCAAAAGGGGACAGGAGCTCGATGCAAAATGCCCGAATGTCGCATTACATCGAAAGGTCGTTGGAGATGTATTGCATCCGATTAGCTTTGACCATCTGGCCAACCTTACGCAGCAACAACTTGCCCGTTCACTGGAACGGGATTGTGAACCTCTCGAGATGAGAGGCAAGTACGGAGCAGTCGGTACACTCTTCAGACTTTCATTAACGCAGTATGGATACACATTCGTTGGCAAGGGCACAATACAGCCATTCGTCCCGCATCTGGAACATGAGGCAAGGGTCTATAGGCGACTTGAAAGGCTGCAGGGTGAGGTCATACCTGTTTACATCGGCAGTATCGACCTAATGAAGCCATACCACCTCACGGCGCGCAATGCGGTTCGATTTGCTGGACACGAGATCGTGCATATGCTCTTGATGTCATGGGCCGGTGAGGTAGCAGTGAAGGTAGCGAAGGGAATAGACGCCGGGGTAGAGGCTGCCAAAACGTTAAACATGATGAAAAAGGAGAAGGTTTATTATGACGATGTCAGGGAACCTAATCTGCTGTGGAACGAAGAGCGACATCGAGTCATGGTTATCGATTTCCACAGTGCTGAGCTTATTGCTCCTAGCTTGGCTGGCATGAAGAGGCCCCGAACAAGCGGCCGTGGAAATGCCCAACGTCCAAAGCGTGTCACCTTACATGCGAAAAAATACGGAGAGGGCGATATCACAAGAGACATCGGACAGAGCACGACTTCAAGCTTTCAGTCAACGTCAGGGGATGACGGCGCATCGGCCAGCTCTGGAGTATCTGTTCGGCAACCGTTGCTACCCAGACTAAGTGCTTGTTGAAACGCCATAGTAGTATAGCTAATGTAGAATAGGATCAGATCAGCGCGTTTCTTAGTTTCGTGATTTGTCCAGCAGAAGCCAAAAGGATTGATGTCATAGTTTTTAGCGAGATGAAGGTCTTTCCCAGTAATACGATCAAGCTTAACGTCCGAACGAGATTTAACACGAGAATTTAGAAGCCCCTTAGCGATATCATCAAAGCTAATCGGATCTATCAGGAGGTCTTCAGTATCAAGACGGAAGAGGTGAAGCTGGTAATGGGTGATTCCATTTAGAATGGCAACAAAGAGCTAACAAGGGCTCCTATAGTGAGCAAGATAGAAAGGCTCACGCAGACGAAACGATCGACTATCATCCTTACAGACGAGGCCCTAAGGGTATTCGCGAACTAACTTGGAGTTTGTTGGACGGGGGCAACTGATCAGGCGGGCTAACTGGAAATAGGGACAGGTTTAGCTGGTCACGTCTGAGTCAATACATGCTGTTCAATTTGCTGCATCGTCGGTATTGAGCCTTAGGCTGTGTGTTAAATAAGGATGCGATATGCTTTGAGAAGCAGCATGATGGCATAGCACTAGACTCTGTATTGTAGGGCCTAGAAGAGGGCTTCTCTTTCTCTTCTTCTTGGAAGATGCATTTCTCTGTGACTTTGCGGCTGGGATCATGACGTTGACGCCTTTACTGATGTGTTGCTGGGAGAGGTGATGATCTAAGTTGATGGGAGAAGTTATCGATGTAGTAGTTGAGATAGGGCCTCACATAGCTCTAGTAGGTCCTATCAAGATGATTTGGCTTTGTTAAGGTTTGAAGGTTGGAATTTCTCTTCTTATGGCTCTCTCACCGCAAAGTCAATGCATGCGAAAGCACTGAACCGCCAGCAATCAGCCTCATCAGAGAGGGATTGCCACTCGATTCCGCCGCAGGAAAGTGGTCAACTGGGATTTCCGTCACGGCCAAAGTTCTCGCAGAGCTCTCACCCTATCTGAATGACTGTAGCATAAAGCCCTGGGCCGAGTGAAGATTCGCAACTGTTGTTGGCGAGAGGCCGAGCAACATGACCTTTGGGGCTCCTTCTATTAATTACCAGGGTCGAAGGTCCAGCCTGGAGAAATATGCCGTAAATTCCTTACCAGCTGGATACCACTTCATGGTCATCCTCGTTGACCTAATTGGCAGCCGCGCGTTGTTGCCTGGCATTGCTTCGAAAGGCTGTCGGGTGCCGGTCATCTTTCCCACATCTCATCATCACTTTATTGAGGCTGACCACCATGAGGCTAGGCATCTGGCTCTGGCCTGCGCCGACGCTAGAGGTGTCGGTCAGGCTACCAAGATGGTATCCTGGAACATTGACGGCGAGACTTTTGTAGGAGTTGGGTCTGCTGAGAAACTAAAGCTCATCGTAATCTAGTATAGCATCCCCACAAAGACATGCTCAATAGTCGTCTCACATCGCTTGCCCCGGGAACCTTAGCTGCCATAAGAGGGCGTGGAGTTGATATTGCTCTGAACCCACCGATTAGCCTTCTTCTTCAATCCAGACTTGATCTACAGGCACGCCTAGGACAACATGTTCAGATGAAAAGTAAAGGTGCACTGGGTATACAGACCTTCTCACGACATATGTCTCTCTGCGTCGTTGAATTCGTATAATGCATCAAGTATAAAGGGTCACATTGGAAGAGAGCTCTGAGCGAAATATCTCGACTCCTTGAGCACACGACCTTATATCCTGTTCGACCAATCGTTTCCTCCTCAACCTCAGAACCTGCCAAGGCATTCCGTCCTGCGTACATCAGGGAGCGTATGGGAAGAGAAGTCTTGCTGGTGGAGCTTGCGGGCCTCATTCCTATGCCTTTGCGCAAGCTAAAGGCCGAACCGGCACTAGACGCATCGTACGTGATTCTCGGTGATTTCGTGGTTTTCGATCGGTCTTTGGCACAATACATGCTCGATCGCGAGGTCAAGAACCGCAAGTTTTGTTGCGAAGGGCCGAAAAACGCGAAAGGTTGGATTTTTTTTTTTCGGAATCATTGTAAAGAGTGCGAATTTTCGAATTTAGGGGCTCCGAATAATCTGAAGACACTTTCGAAATTCAACAAGGGACGTTGTACATAACACCCACGATGAAGGTTGAAAGTCTGGGCCTCAGGCATCAGGACTCGAACTACATCCTGCCGTTCCTCCCATTCACCGCCTGCCTCTTCCATGTCTGTACATGATATTGAAGTTACGTCATGGCATCACGCAGACTTACACGAGAAAGAGGTCATAGTACTGGTCGAATTATTTTCAGCCCAGCCGACTTCATAGTGTGCAGTCATCTGTTCATCAAGTTACTCACATCCTCCCAGGTCTACTACCTCATCTCTCGCCACAATCCCGTTGTACCGCACAGAGTCTCTCTAAACCTGTGGCGAATTTCGAACGCTCCAGCTCCCCGATCGAGATACGCAAGGCGCCTACTCCAGCAGGCTCTCGTTCCTGACTCAATATCAAGAAGAAGCCGGCTTGCTTAGCGAAGTGATCAGCATTATGTTCCTCGGCATCATCGGATTATCGAAGCCAGCGGTCAGTACAGAAGTCAAGGGGGTACTGTCAAATCTTGGACGAGGTCGGTCAACTCCTTCAGCCGCTTGATATGAAGAGGTGACGCGAGTTCCTACCGAATCAGTATCTAGAACGCCTTGCGACAAAACCAAGCGACACCGAGTCAACTGCCAAGGTAATCTCAGCTGCAAGGGCTATGGGCGTCTTGGTGAACTCGTGGCATTCAACGGACTAGATCAGGTATTTTCATGCAAGTTTTCATTCGGCCGTCTGATAATCCTGACAAGTTGAAAAATGAAACGAGCTAACTCGTAGGCCCAATGATTTAAATGGCAATCTGCAATCCTTAACGCCCGTTGAGCAGAACAGTCCAGCACTCTTCTATTCGTATCATTTCCGGACCAAAGAGCACAAAAGAAATACACCAAAGCCACATGAAGTCCAAGGAGTGTGAAAGACTTGCCCTCCAAAGATCAGTCGCGTGTAGACAGGCAAAGCTCGAGAGAATAACATAGTAGCTATCTCATCGTTACTTATTGACATCGCCCTCGCTGTCTGTCAAATAAAATGCCGCTATGATGGGCAGTAGAAAGTTGCATACCGTGCAGAAATAGCTGATATGACGAGTTTTAGGCTTTATGCGGCACGGAAATTATCATATATCGCGACACTGAAGTTGAAACTGGGGCTTGAGCCTGCAAGGACGCGGAAGGCCTATCGGTGCCGATTTCCGGTGAGAAAGCGACGGACTCTTCTAAAAGCTCGGCTGAATCGTCTTCGTCTCCGGTTGCGCTGGTTGAGAACTATAATATTTCTGTTCTCGAAGCTGTAATCTGCTAACGTGGTTGCGGTGGAGGAACAAAGCGTGATATCACTGCTGAAGTTCCGCTTAAGGTAGTGATCAGTCCACATTTTGGACTTGAACACAGCTGAGATTTGAAACTGGAGCTTAAGGCGGGTCTGAGAGAATGTTGGGATGATAATGGAGTTAGTCTGTAAGTTGTTCCTTGGAGTTGTGTTGGATGCGTATTGGAAAAAAGATGGAAGAAGAGAGGCTCGGAGATAGCCAGCCAGGTTATCTATGCTCGCAACTGCTAAGCAGAGATTCAGTAGTACGAAGCTGAAGACTTTCTGAAGCAATGCTAAAGTGGGTTGTGTTGTAGACCAGTGGACAAACACCTGGCTCTAGGACAGCATTTAGCTACTTGATGAGTGTCTGCAACTCCAACCAAACAGCACCAAAATAAATCCGCAACACAAGTAACCTACTGGTCTTTACTGCCAAACTGGATTTGCTTTCTATGTAGGTGGTAGGCTTATACTCTGTGATTCAAATGTCGTCTGGCTGTTCTAGCATGAGGACATGTGAATTCCTCTGCATTTATTGAAGCCTGGTCTTCACGTGGAACCTCTGGTTTCTTTCCATCTGGAATCACTGATGTTAAGGCAGTGTGACAATTTCTATCTGGCTCTACGTACCTCAACCTCGACGCATACATTCATTCATCTCACAGCCAGCCTGGGCCCGCCGTGCTTTTGTTGAATCCCACCCCTTAATTTGACATATGGAGGTCACAGAGCTTACGATTTCTGTCTTTTATCATGCCTGTTCGACCACCGACTGAAGTTGAAGCCCACGCGACGGCAGACCTGCTTTTCACGAACCACCGGAGGAGCATTGAGGGTCGACACAGAGCTATGCTTTAGAACGAATAAACGCACAGCTCATAGAGAGGTCATTCTCTCGCTCATGTCTATCAAGTGTCGCGTTAAGGATTCGAGCGATGGCGGAGATAATATAAGATAGTTTAGAAGGTGCTCTGCCGCACATTAGAGCGGAGGGATAAGGATAAATACTTTAAGATGCTCTCCGTGCCATCCTACAATCACAAGGTCAACTCAACACCTACCCCGGGTGTCTGGAGATTGCAATCTTTAATGATGGCTGCAACTATATGACCTGGCTCTTTCTGATTGTATATCCAGTCATGAGGTATCCTCTTTCATTCCAGTAAAATAACCCCAACCAAAGCATCCAAAGAATCTTGTCCACGTTCATCGGCATAGGCCAGGAAGCGACCATAGCCTAACGAATTTTGGATACGGTAGATACCTATGACCGCAATTCTAATGCAGGTCGCAAGCCGACTGTTTCCTTCACCTGACCTCCATTTCCAGCAGTATAGAACCTTTGTTCGATGCCATCATCGTAGGTAGAGCGAGCTTGCGTGATCACCAATCTTCGGCGACGGAGAGCGTGAGCTGGTTCGGAGGCGGAAGCTGGTTGCCCGTTTGGAAGTTGGGTCGGGGTACGAAGAAGGACCTGTGGAAGGCAAGGAAGTTCGACAACGGGGTTGGTTTTATCTAGTCAAGTAGGTAATTAGTGCTGCGTTTCCTGCTTGCTTTTAGACAAGGAAGTCGAACTATTGAGTATCCCTGGTACGATGAGACTGCTGATTAGCCGAGTTGCTGTGAGAATCGCATGGTCATCCAAGGATTCAAGATCCCTGGTTCCCTGGTACGATGAGACTGCTGAGTAGCTGAGTTGCCGTGAGAATGGCATAGTCATCCAAGGATTCAAGCGTTTCCTGCTTGCTTTCAGACAAGGGGGTCGAAGTATTAGGTATCCCTGGTACGATGAGACTGCTGATTAGGCAAAGCTGAAAAAGAGAAGGTGTTGACTGACCCCTTCAGGGGTTGGGCGCAGCTTCCAGCTTTGCCTATTTAA